AGCCTCCTATGTTTGAGTATATCATCAAAGGTGATTTGTTTCACATTATGAAGTCTGGCTGCTGCCGGGATGTCGTTGGAGGAGTGCTTGTGTTTCTTTGCCGCAAGACTTTCTTCGATACAGAAGAATCTTCGAAGAACCTGCCAGACCGGCTCGAAAGAGCCCATGGCAATTTTAAGCTTTGGTGTGCAGCCGAGCATGTCAACCCAGGGTTGCGTTCCTTTACCAAGAATTTCTTCAACATAAAGACGATGCTGTCCGCACCCTGGAGCAACAGCAAAGGCTCGGACACTGTACTGTTGCTGCGATGGCTTTCGTGGTACTTGAAACTTCAGTTGCTGCACCCTACTGTTCCGAACCTCGGAGGCCATGCTCAGTTGATGAGTCTAATGGTCCAAACCATCGAAGCTGCTCGGACCATCCTTTTCTTGATTCGTGAACACAAGTTGGTGTTGCCTCGACCTTGCGGCCGCAGATTGTACATTACAATTATGCGCTTTTTGAGAGGTTATCAACACCTTGGTAGACATCTCCTAAACCTCAGCATGAGACACTTTATCCAAAAGCCGAAACTACATGCGCTTCATCACGTCGCTTGGACCCTGCGATGCTCTCTACTCTCAGGGGCCCCCATGCTGAATCCTGAAATCTATGCCTGTGACATGGATGAGGACTTCATTGGCAGAGTGTCGCGGGTCAGTCGCAAGCTAGATGTTCGCCTAGTTGACCAGCGTGTCATACAAAGGCAGTTTTTAAAAGTCCGAGCCCTTCTGAATAGACGGAAGCGCCAAAAGCTTGCATAGGCATCAGGTATTATGTAGGGTAGCTTCAATTTACCAACTAAAGTTATTTCAAACACAAGAAGTACTCCTGACTTTCAGCTTTCGCAAGCTGGACAGCACTCCGAGACTGAGAACGTGGCGAGCAAAAGCATCCAGGCGCCGAACGCTTCTAAGCTACGAGAGACCATCCTATCTTTAAGACTTTAAGATATTGGCTGTAAGGTCGAGGGTTGTTCATTGAAGGACCCATGCTTTCCCCTGCAACTACAGGGTCATAATGTGTAGCATGTGTAACATGTCCTTGCATCAAGAACTTGAACCACATTCAGCTCGATGATCCTGAGAAGCCCCATGTCTGTGGATGCCTCGGCCTGATTTTCCTCATTCAGGCTGATTTTCTCTTCGCGGTCTGATTATTTCCATTCGGTTGCTTTCTGGGTCTGAATGGCTTCGGGCTGATATTCCAGGCCGGAGTGGGTATAGGTATATATATATATATGGTACCCCCCCCCCCCCCCCATGGATCTACCTTTTTCGTGTGTTTGGGAGCCCCACCACACGACAATGGTGGATCCTTGAGGGGAGGGGCTAGCCGATGGACCAATACCATTCTGTGGTTGCGTGAACTCTACGCTGGCCCGATTGAGTTCAATCGGGGGCCGGATTGAAGATTGAAGATTTCCTGGAAGACTTTCCCCGGGAATCTTCAATCCTCAATCCGGCCCCCGATTGAGTTCAAACGCGGCCGATTGAGTTCAATCGGGGGCAGGATTGAAGTTTGAAGATTTCCTGGAAGACTTTCCCCGGGAATCTTCAATCCTCAATCCGTGCCCCGATTGAGTTCAATCGCGGCCGATTGAGTTCAATCGGGGGCCGGATTGAAGATTGAAGATTTCCTGGAAGACTTTTCCGGGAATCTTCAATCCTCAATCCGTGCACCGATTGAGTTCAATCGCGGCCGATTGAGTTCAATCGGGGCCGATTGAGTTCAATCGGGGCCGCTTGAGTGCGATCGCGGTTCATCCCAAGTGGACAAGTTGTTCTACAATGCATTCTATGGTGCATGCCAAGGGTATTCTACAAGGTATTCTATAGGGTTTTCTGTACGGCTTTCTATGCGGCACCCAGAGGGTATCAGACTCAGGAGGTATTCTGTAAGGTAGTCTCAAGGGTATTGCAAATGGCATTCTATAAGGCCTAGCAAGGGCATAATATAGCGTATTTGTTGTGGGTATTATAAAGGGAACTCCATATGGCGTTGTATACAGGATGGTGCAAGGCATAAGCAAAACGTAAAAGTTGTATCATAGAAAGTAGTCTGTAACGTATTGTATAGGCTACAGGGTTTTCAACAAAGTTCATAAAAGGTATATAGGGGGTTTTCTATAATCTAGGTTAAAGAAGGAGTATTTTGCAAGGTATTCTATACGCTGTTGTCTTTGATTTCCTCGTTGGGCACATAGCAGGCACATACAGAGCATTTTTGCGCCTGATTTCCCCCCCCCCATTAATCCGCTATCTACAAATTATTCTACAATTCTACAACTTCCATCGTGCATTCTACTGTTATCTTATAGAATATTCCATAGGGTTGTCTTTAGGACTTCCTATGGGGTACTCAGAGGATATCATAGACAGGGGGTCTTCTGTAAGCTAGTCTGTAGGGTATTGCAGATGAAATATGAGGCCAGTAAGGGGTATATTATGTAACGACGTTTCGGGCGCTCTATAGGGTACTCCATAGCGCATTATATAAGGGATTGTGCAAGGCATCAACATAAGTGTCGTATTCTATAACGTAATGTATAGGCTACAGGGTACTCTAAGGTTTATAAGGTATAAAGGGGATATTCTACAATGCAGTACCTAGGGTCACCTGTGCGAACTTTTTGAGGTTTGTGGTATTTTTTAGATTATTCTTTTCGATTCCTCGATCGCTCCCAGAAATCCCTGACCCAATAACTCGTTTTTTCCATGAGGGGTTCTCAGATCTTGGGCTCGTCCTGATTGTCCTCATGTATCCTTCGTTTGAAAGGTTATCTATAGGTATTCTTACTTCTCAAATACCCATGGGGGTAAACAGTTTAAACTTTCACAATAAGACTACCTTATAAGGGGCCAAAAGTTGAAAAGTTGCCACTAAGAATCATATGGGTTCAGGGGATATATACTGTATACAAGGACTATCATATACAAGGCCATAGGGGCATTCTACAAGGTGTTCTACAGACTATTCCAGATGGTCTTTCATGAGGCGCACGATATATAGAGGGTACTATATGGTCCACAAGGTATTTTGTAGGTTACTCTATGTGGTATTCTGTAAGGTACTCTTGGAATTCTATGGATATACCGGCTGTGCCTGAAAGTATATGATAAGGTATTCTATAGTGTCTAGGGTATTCAATAAGGCATGAGGGTATTCTATGTCAGTATATTCTATATGAAGTTTTTAAGATACATAGAGGAAGTATTCTAGAGGATATCCTATAGGGTTTTCTATATAGTGTCCTATAGGTTATATGTAACATAAGGCAGCCGGGGTGTATCATATATATATATATATATATATGTGGTCTTGTATAAGGTACTCGACAGTACAGGATATTCCAGATGAGTTTCCATAAGATATATAGGTAGTGAGAGTGGAATCTTGCAGAGTATTCGAAAATATATTCTAAAGGGTATGATATTGGTCAAATACAAGGTGTTGCACCCTGGAAATATCGATAGATTTCGAGTTCACGGACATTATCTACAATCGATGCGTCTTATATACGGGAGGTGTAGAAACAGGGTTTTGTTTTTACATCTTTGCTTGTCGTGGTACTAAGTTATACGAGATGACACATATCTGCTCTCCTGTTGCATGTTACCTTCACAGCCCGTACTGCTGCATGCAACAGCCAATACACACACAGAACATACATGCAAGCTTGCGTTCTTTGGCAACACGAGAAGAAGTCGTACGCGAATGCATCTCGTGTGGAAAATCTCAGGGCTGTATATGAAGGAAATGCAGAATCTAGGATCTGCGAAATCCCTGTTCAGATCGAAGCTTATGTAGTGAAAAATTCATAAAGAGAGCGGAATAATATCCACTATTTCGCATCCGGCTCTCAAACACAAGAAAACGGTAGATCCTTGAGGGGCTGGGGGTTAGTTCTATATGTATACATATACATATATATACATACATGCATACATACCGTGATATATATATATGTATATTATGTACAGCTTCCAACCACCAGCCACCCGCCAGCCACCCCTCCAGCCACCTGCAGCCGCCAGCTAGCTAACCGCCTCCAGCACCCGCCTCCACCCCTCCAGCCACCTGCCTCCACTCACCCACCTGCCTCCAGCCGCGTGCAGCCACAAGCTGCCAGCCAACCCACCCGCTCGCTTCCAGGTGCCTGGTGCTGGTGGCTCGTGCTGGTAGCCGTAGTGCCGTAGTGGCTCGTTATATACACGTTATGACTTTATCATAGTATATTATAGTATCTTGCAATATAAGTTAATATGATCGGCTACAACAGAATATAGCATGGTGTGATATAGTGCAGAAAAATGTAGTAGAATATAAGAAGACAACGTATTCCAACATAATGTGGCATGCTATGGTATTATAATATGTGCTGACTGATATACTACAGATTAATGTATCCACATCTATATATACACACAAAGAGGATGGGTTTTTTGGCTCGTCCAGTGGTCGCACCAAGCACGGCGGTCCTTGCCGTTTTGGCCCTGAAGACCATCTAAACATGAAGATCTCACCACCAAGCTTTTTCCTGGTATCCCTTTACAATCGCCCTAATACCGGGAACTATGGTTTTTTTGGGGACTGAAGTTCGAAGAGACCAGCTGAACGAATGCACATTCACAAGAGTGAGTCTCCAGAACGGTCAAACTGTGGGAAAATGCAGCTGTGGGTCCTTTTACATCTGCCTGGTTAAGTCGTTAATCCTGAGTGCGTTTGAGCAGTTTTTGGTTTCCGTGCATCTTTCTAGGTTGAGCTATCTGCGTCAGCCAAGAACCCCGCGTCCCAAGGCACTCCAAGGCCACGTAGCCCTTCTTTACAGCCCGAGACCGTCTAGGGCCAGAGTCTAGGGTTTAGAAGATTCGAGGACTCACCGGCCATTCTCTTGCTACTTGCAGCCTTAACCCGAAGACCTAACTGCAGACTTGCTTTCCGTCATCCTCGATTCACAGGAATCCATGAACACTGTTGTGAAGCAAGAGTGCCTCCGTCTCGAGCTCGGTACGACTTAGTTACTGTTTAATTTAGTGTCCTGGGTGTTGCCGTGGGATTTCCAGCCCTGGGCTCCCGCAAATGCCGTCAGGGCGGCAGCATTATGTTGCACTCAGACGTCCCAAGATACGACTGGGAGGATCCTCTTGCCCGTCATTTTCAACACAACTCCCGAGAGACGCTATCCGTTTACATGTGCAGAGTTCCGCCCGCCCAGTCATGCGTCCTATGCATGAACTGCAATGCGGCAGCAGCATGTTAGAAAAGCCGAGGTTACAACAAGCTACTTACAACCATGGACAGCTCGCTCAAGGCATGGTCAAATGAACTCAGCAGACAGCCTTTCTTTATGTTTTGCATTTCGGAGCGGTTTAAGGGCGTTGCGAGGGTTTTCGTGCACTCCTCACAGACCCGCGGCCAACCATTTCTTGCCAGGCATTTCGCAAGGCCATCAAAGGCCTGATTGTGAGAGGCCCAGAGAAAGGTTGAGGCTGTTGAGCTGCTTTGAGTGCGGCTCTAGGCCTTTAGTTTGATGTTAGGCTGTCAGGAATTGATCGGTCAGAACTGCAGGAAGGTTCTGATGCAGCCAGTCGGGGGCCCTCCTTCTCGCGCTGCGGGTCTTTGAACTCTGAACTCCTGCATTGGCACAAGCCGTCAGCCCTGACGAAAACCCTTAGGACCGTTACAAACCCTCAACCTCAAAACGCCTGTAAAGCCCTGCTGCAAGGTCATGACCGCCGAGTTGGAGGAGCTAGGGAAGCAACTCTTCATTAACGAGGCGGAATCAGCTTAGGGCTTCTATAGCTTTCAGGTTTCGTGCTTGGGAACTCAGGCTGGGCATCGGCAGGAATAGGAGTTGCGCTGTATGGTGCGTATGTGTTGGGGCCTTGGATGTTGTTTCAGGGCTCAGGATAATTATTGGTCACCGGCTTCTCTCCAGCGTCGCTGCGCTGTTATGATGCTTTGTAGCAGGGTTGCACGAAGTGTCACGTTGGGTTATCCTCACCGCCGTTCATCCGCGAGAGACTTCCTGGCTGTCATGTTCCTAGATTCCATATGATTCCATGGTTCCTGCGTCAGATGCAGCTTGTGACGAAACCTCTTGACACGGCGGCCTCAGGCTTGAGGGCTTAAGGGCCCAAGCCGTGAACCTTGCAAAACCAGGTTGTCGTTTGACCGACCCAACAGAACGCATGGATGCATGTCTCTTTGCTGGGCGGCCTCCCAAAATTCTTCCTTGCGACAGGTACCAGAGATGTGGTGCCGGGCTCAGACCAGAAAAGCCGGGCGGACGGCCTTGTACTTGCTTCCTTTCTGCACGCATCGTTGAGAAGCTGCTGCCGTGCCTGCGATCCATAACCTCGGAATGCTCAGTCAAGTTCACCGGCACGGGAGGTCCAAGAAGGGCCCTCTTTCGCTGAAGCCGCTGAGCAGCCAGGGTCTCAAGGTTTAGGGCTTGCGGGTTTCATTTAGTTTTGTAGGGCTTTAAGTTCGCTTTCTTCGTTGTCCTTGAATTGTTGCCATTGTTTTGTCCCGCCTGTGATTTTGTGTGCTTCCTTGTTTCCCTCATCCGAGGAGCTCATAAGTTAGATCTGCACGGACACGACATCTCCTGACTCGACAACTCTGTAAATGCACGATAGATAGTCGGGGGGTCCTTCTGGGGTCATCATTCTAGCTTGTTGCACTAGTGACTCGTGCTTAGTAGACAAAGAATGTCAAAAGAACCCCACATTTAACGCACACCACCAATGTTCCAGCTGTTTCACACGGCTGAGGTTGGTTTCCGGACATTCTGGCGCGGGTGGCCTTCTTCCAGAACTGGAATGAGCCGCTCTCTTAGGGATGTGGAACTCCAGAAGAGCGTGGCATCGACAATTGTGTTGCTGTGATATTATGAGTACGACTGCCGCTCGGTCCATGCTTGCCTTTGCGTTAGCATAGCTGCAGATCCTACAAAGCTGGCAATGCCTCGTCCCACAACGCTAAGTTTGGGGCGCACGCCGCCGGTGCACTGGATCAGCGGAATCTTCTTCCCTCAGGTCCGGTTCTGCGATCTCGTGCTTCAGACTTGAAGGGCTGACAAGAACTCGTCAGTTTCGAAGCTACTTTACGGCATCAGGGGACGATGTTCGCATTACGACGGTCTGACGACGTGCGAGGCTTTCTTCACCGGTGCCATGCAGAACTACGCCCGGAAGCATGGCGAAGAGATCGACCTCTTGTCCTTCTCGCAGAAGGCACCCACGTTCCAAGCACCTAATCATGTACGAAGCTGAGCTTCAGTGTCTGGTGCCTTCGCAGTGAAGTTGAAGCTGCGATCGTGGTGCATCGCAGAAATGTTTCGTCGATGCCCCAACATGCACGCGAAGCCGAAACTGCTGCTAATGGAGTGACATGGAGTGACGAACTAGCTTTGCAAGTGTGAAACATGAGCTGCTAAGTTGCGGGCTAGATGCATCAAAATTGTGGGTTTATCCGGCAATTCGGATATGTGGTGCTTCTTGCGATGACAGTAACAAGTTCAGCATGTCGAGATTGGAACCTGCGAGCTTCGCGAATCATTCATAACTCGAGTCTTATATGAGTTTCATGTGGCGCCTTCGATACTATAACAATGAACATCACCTCGTGTGCAGGTGATGGACAACATTGTCAACCCCAAGCGGGCATTTGTCTCAGGCTTTGTCTCAGATTCAGATGTTTTGGTCCGGACTAGCAAAAATGGCCGTTCACTTCCTCATGTTCTTTACTTCTGACTGTTTGCATCAGCATCAGTTTTGGCGGCGCCTGCTGCTGCTTCTGCTACTCCTATTCCTACTGTAACTCCTTCACTCTTGGCGTGACGATGCCAACGACGACTACTACTTCTACACAAGCAGTGCTGCTGCTGCTGCTGCTGCTGCTGCTACCGCTACTACAACGAGTACTACTACTACTACTACTACTACTACTACTACTACTACTACTACTACTACTACTACTACTACTGCGACGACGACGACTACTACTACTCCACTACTCTTGGTTCTTCCACTGCTAACACCACCACCAACACCAACACCACCGCGACCACGACTACTACGACTACTACTACGACTACTACTACTACTACTACTACTACTGCTACTACTACTACTACTACTACTAAATACTACTACAGCTACTACCACCACCACCACAACCACGACGACTACTACTACTGCTGCTGCTGCTGCTGCCGCTTCTCCTACTGCTGCTACTGTTACTACTGGTAACTTGAGGATGTCACTGCTCTGACGCTGCGTTTTGGTTGGTGAGCTGCATATGAACGACGGAAGTATGACAAGCATGACAAGTGGTGATCTCAATCCAGGAGGAGCGTAGTAGTTGTTTGCCAAGATAAGGATGCTCAATAGCAGGATGCAGCCACTGAGCTGCCTGCCTTTCGTCTATCATCGGAGCGACGGTGAGACGTGTGCAATGCAATACTGCTACTACTGCTACTACTGCAACTACTGCTACTGCTACCACTACTACTACTACTACAACTACTGCCACTACTACTACTACTACTACTACTACTACTACTACTACTACTACTACTACTACTACTACTACTCCTACTACTACTACTACTACTACTACTACTACTACCTACTACTACTACACTCCTACTACTACTACCACTACTACTACTACTACTACTACTACTACTACTACTACTACTACTACTACTACTACTACTACTACTACTACTACTACTACTACTACTACTACTACTACTACTACTACTACTACTACTACTACTACTACTACTACTACTACTACTACTGCTACTGCTACTGCTACTGCTACTGCTACTGCTACTGCTACTGCTACTGCTACTGCTGCTACTGCTACTGCTACTACTACTACTACTACTACTACTACCTACTACTACTACTACTACTACTCTACTACTACTACCACCACTACTACTACTACTACTACTACCACTACTACTACTACTACTACTACTACTACTACTACTACTACTACTACTGCTGTACTTGTTGCTAGTACGACTACTGCCACAACTACAACAACTTCTACAACTACTGCTGCTACTAATGCCACTACCACGACGACGACCACTACCACTGCCACTACGGCTGCTTCGACTACGATGACGACTACTACGACGACTGCTATTGCTTTTGGAGGGAGCGGAGGGCTGCCTGCAAACAATGGAACCTCGCAGCTCGCAGCGGGGTGTCTTTATCCTGGACAGTTTTCTTTTTCGCCGAGTCGGTAGGGTCGGACAATAAACCCACCGGCACAGACCAAGGAATTGATTGTTGCTCCGGAGGCCGGGCTGGGATCTGTATCCTGTTGGTGTTCTTCCGGGATTCGCCGATGGGGGATAGGGTATCAGGGCGTGGACACTAGCGTGGAGGAGACGGCCCGGATAATCCTTGTCAATGATGCCGTCCATGTCACACAGAAATTCATGCAGGATGGTGTCTACATCTACGGCCTCTTCATGGAAGGTGCAGCAGGGATCAGTTGGCCACCGCATCCCCGAAATCATGGGGTAGGTGGTTACAGTCTTCGACGGCTTTGTCTGAAGGCGCACGCTGGGACAACGACACCCACATGGTGCGCCCCTTGCTGCTGCCACGCAGGGGCTTACGGAGCGCAGCAGCAGTACTGACCAGCACAAAAACCGCTTTAGGAATGAGTGATACTTCAACACGTGATGTAACTTTTGCCAACGAGGTAGCACGACTCCGTGATAAGATCGGTTGCTGTCTCGATTTTGTATCAAGAGGCCAGAGACTACCTGAAGCTCTTGCACGTAAGCACCGCCAATCGCGGATTGAACCACCAAAAGGCCCCAAGCCCCCAAACCCAAGCCCAAAACCCAACTCCCGCACCCTAGCCAGCGGCCGCATCAACTGCACAACCTTCAGCTCGACACATCACTCAACCCTAACGGCCCCAACCGATGTCTTGTTTTGTAAAGTTCAAAGCTCAGGTCCAGGAGTCCCAGCCGAAAGTGCTCTTCACGGAATTGCCTTCGCTTTGGTTCCTGCCCGTCAAGGACCAGCACGACCAGGGTTCCGGTTTTGAGGTTCCCCCTTCGGCTTGAGGGTTGAGGTGCTCGGAAGGTAGAATTAGGAGTGCGGGTGTCGGGGGGTGGGGTTGAGGATTTGGATTTGAAGTTTCAGTTGTCGGCCCAGCAACTCGTGTTTCGGGTTTCGAGGGCTAGATTCTGGAGGCCTAAACCCGCACAAACAACAGTCCCTTTTCTGCTTGCAGACTCTGAGCACCATGAACCTCAAAAGCCTAAGCCTTCTTAAATGAACGTCAAATTCCCATGATGCCGCAGCACAATGAGGAGGCATGGTGTTTGTTCGAGCGTTTGAGGTTAACGGTTTGATGTTAAGAGATATCTTTAAAGCTGGATCGTCGCAGGGTTTAGGGCGGTCACGCTTGATGAGGGCCTAGTCTCAGCGATTGTTCTTATTCCTGAGATCCGGGCAGAGCCTTAGGCCTTTACGACTTTCCGGTGCTGAGGCAGTTTAGAGTTTGAACTGAGACCATTATTGGGGAGAACGGGTTCAGGGCTGTTTTCAAGAAGCCTTGGCAAGGACCGCAAGCCCAACGCGAAAGACTACCGCTGCCCAACCTACAAGGCAAAACTTGCAGGGCGAATTGAATTTTCGGGATCTTTGGTTGACGCCTTGTTTTCGGGCATGGGTTGTGGCAGCGCCGTGCAAGGTTTGCCTCCGGGCATGTGTTGCCGCCCTACCGAGCCAGACACATGTTCAGAGGCTATCTCCAAAGGTTTCGCCATTCCGCTGCGCAGGTCCTCTCACGCAAGGGGACGCTGCTCACGACCGGGCACTCGACGAACTTCGTTCTTTACCTCGAACTCCCTACAGATCAGGCTTCATGGATTTGTCACTTAGCCACTCTCTCCCAGCGTTTTGCCGAATCAACGGTCAGCTTCAGAGCATACACGTGCAAAGTACATGGAGATTAGGCTGCGTGCTGCTTATGAGCTGCTCTCATTTCGTGGTTTTAAGGCAAGACAAAGCCCAGGTTTGTGCTGCATGTTGTTTCATTTGGCAGCAAAGGGCTTGTGAGTAAAGTAAGTCCTACTCTGTAGCTCAGTACATATTGCAATCAAGTACATGCATACATCCACAATGATGTATATAAGGTTGCTTGCATCACATACATGACATGCAGTACGTACATACATACAACATACATACATAAACAATACGTGCGTACATACGTACATACATCCACACACACACACATTTACAAACATTGACAACTACACGCATACAACTAAACGAGTACACACATACTGCATGCATGCCTGTTTGAATGCCTGCCCGCCTACATACACCCATTTGTGAATGGGTAGATATCTGTACACATCCATCCGCTCAAGTGTGCACACATGCATACAATGCCACAGACATGGCTGCATACGTTTCTCCAAAACACGTGCACTTATTTATAAACCTCCACAACTGGCCTGTGTGAGCCCTGTGGATTTGTGGTGCACTTTGGCATATCCGTTTTGGTGGGTCTAGTGTGAGGAAGTCTGTGGCGCAGCCTACGATTTATAGTCTGTGTTACTTGTCTGTCTGCACTAGCTTGTCTGCGAGGTTTCGGCATCTTATGATCTGTTCTCCATGTTCCTTTGCACAGTACTAAATCCGTTCAGGTATTTCGGGAAGATGGGTTGGAAGGGCCCGGGGCTTTCACTTCCGATTGATGGTTGTCAGAGCTATTTGGAAGCATGCGTACTTGTTCCGAGGGTAGATTGGCTGTTTCGCTATTTCATGGCGACGTCGCTGAGTAATCCTGCTCAGGGGACTTAACTTGGGCTCATGCAAAAGAAAGGTATCTAGAAACTAAAGAAGTGTCTTAAGACTCAGGCGGAATTCTGTTAGAGGGCACACAAACGGATGGAAAAGAGCTCAACCGATCCAAAAGAGCCATTAAACTCGTGAACCATCCTGTCCTGACCCGAACCCTTCGCTAGCGCTCAAAACTTGCCCAACGCTTGTCGAATAGAAGAGCCTGTCGTATCTACATCCAGGCTTCGAGCCGAGCCGAAAGGTCACCCTCGCAAAAACAATCAACAGCTCTGCTGCTGTCGCGTCTTTCTTATCGCTTTGTTTTGTTTGCTTGTTGTTCGATTGTCAACTGGTTTGTTTGGGTTTGTGGCCGTCGTCATCCTTATTGCGCTTGTGCCTTGTTCAGCTTAACCTACCTTCTGGTTTGCGATCTTTGTAACAAGAGCTGCAAAGGTTTCTAGCCACATTTTGTGTCCTGGGCAGTCTCCTTTCTGGGTGCATGTGCATACTTTTACATACAAGGTTAAAACACACAGTGACACAACAACATGTACAACAACGCAGGCACATACAAATGGGGTGGGTTTACGCCATAAATATATATCTATACATATGTATATATATATATATACATATTTGTTTATATCCCGAAAGAGAGAGGTAGATAATGTTAGGTACAGACTGTATAGGCTGTAGGTGCGTGGTATAGGCATGTGTATTATACATATACACGTGTATATATATATATATACATATGCACGCACAAATATACAAACATATGCTCACCCCCCCCCCGTTGACAGACCGCGGGTCTAAAAAACACCGTGCACGACGATATTCTATGAAGCAAAACCTTTACATGAGGTACATAGTATAGCACCAGACGTGCGGCACATGAGTTACGTAACAGTCTTGTGGTAGTATCGGTATTAGGGTGAGTATTATTATTAATATTAGTACTATTGTTTGCTGTAAGTATACGTATCAATATTGCCAACTATAAACTAGTGTTAGTGCTCATGTTCGTGTTAGAGTTAGCGCTAGTGCCAGTGTCAATGTCAGTAATACAGCACCACTGCTACGAGTAGTATCAGTATCAGTCTTAATGCTGGGTTTAACAGCAGCTTATATTCGCAGAAGTGCTAGTATTAGTATCAATATTAGAACTAGTTAGTTTGGATATGTTAGTATATTGATAGTCTCGTATATTAGCAGATGAGTATATCAGTACATCAATGTATTCGAACAGTAAAATATTTGCATACTTGTATACTAGTATATTTTACATGTTAGTACAACTGGTGCATGAATACACTACTATACTGCTGTACTAGCTTACTAGTATATTGACATACCAGTATATTCGAACGTTAGCATATTAGTGTACGAGTATGTGTACTATATGACTGTTTTATCTAATCATTTATAAGTATATCAGTATGTTGGCATATTGGTATACGAACTTGTCATGTCGGTATTCTTGCATAGTGCAGTAGCCGTATATGAGTACAGTCACATATTCGTGTAGTATACTCATACAACAACGAGAGGTATATTGATACATTGGTATATGGGCATATGCCTATGCCAAAGCATTAATACATGAATGCACTGACGTATATATCTGTATCTTAAGATAGTGGTATGTATTTTATGTACATTAGTATATGCAGGTGTCTATTAGTAATGATATTAGTCATCATATCAATATGAATATACTATTGGTGTTCGTAGCAGTATTAATGTCAATATTATTAGAAATAGGACTATTTATACTCGTAATAGCCATAATATGAGTGTTCATGCTGGTAATACTAGTGGCATTCTTGAATATTCAGCAGATTATCAAAGTCCGTACTAGTGTTGGTGATAGCATCACTGTTAACGCACAAGAGTTTACGTACTCGTATTCGTAGGAGTATCAATAGCTATGTAAATATTGATGTTAGTATAAATTTTGTGTGAAGTATTAGCAGTAGTGTTAGCTGTATTTTATGTACATTAGTATAAGCAGGTGTCCATTAGTAATGATATTAGTTTTCATATCAATATGAATATACTATTGGTATTCGTAGCAGTATTAATGTCAATATTATTAGAAATAGGACTATTTATACTCGTAATAGCCATAATATGGGTGTTCATGCTGGTAATACTAGTGGCATTCTTGAATATTCAGCAGATTATCAAAGTCCGTATTAGTGTTGGTGATAGCACTACTGTTAACGCACAAGAGTTTACGTATTCGTATTCGTAGGAGTATCAATAGCTATGTAAATATTGATGTTAGTATAAATTTTGTGTTAAGTATTAGCAGTAGTGTTAGCGTTAGTACTATAATATTATTGATGATATACATTCGAAAGAATGTTTGTAGTATTATTACTCTTGATCACGTGAAATTCTAACAGTTGAATACATGAGTGAGTTAAAGGATTTGTATTTTAATATGGTGGTATGCATGTTTATGTACATTAGTACATATAGGTGTGTGTTAGTATTGGTATTAATATACATTATTATCAATATGAATATGGTTATTGATATGCGTAGGAGTAATAAGAGCAATACTAATCAATCTTAGTATTTGTGTTATGCATATTCGTACTAAGCTTTATAGAAGTGTAATATTAGTAGTAATGCTGGTATTAGCTTGAGCATTCAACAAATGATCACTGTCAGTATTTCCAATGGCAATACTATATGTAGGAGTATCAATACATATATGTATATACAGATAGACAGGTAGATTGAGAGATATTCGTTTAAATATGGGCATGAGTATTGACAGCCCTTGCCTTTGCAAGTAAGTCGTGCATGGTCTGTCATCGGATGGGTCACAATCAGCCCTCCTGAGAATCAATTCCAAGGTCCAGAGATTCCAAAATTTCCAAAAGTTCCAAAACTTCCAAAATTTCCGAAATTTCCAAAATTTCCAAAATTTCCAAAATTTCCAAAATTTCCAAAATTTCCAAAATTTCCAAAATTTCCGAAATTTCCAAAATTTCCAAAATTTCCAAAAAGTCCGCCCTTATGTTTTGGAAAAATCCTGTCCACTAGGTCGGGCCGTTTTGGAAATTTTGGAAATTTTGGAAATTTTGGAAATTTTGGAAATTTCGGAAATTTTGGAAATTTTGGAAATTTTGGAAATTTTGGAAATTTTGGAAATCCGGAAAGTTAAGGGAGAGAATTTTGGAAATTTTGGAAATTTTGGAATTGAGTTTTTGAAAGCTGAGTACCCCCTCCCCCGATCACAGACCATGCACTACGACTGAGTTGAAAGGGCATGGTCTGTCAACGAGTCTTTTGGTGGTTCCACAGATACGTTCGGAGGGCTCAAACTCGATACCCCGGAAAAAGCACGAACACACCGGTGGGAGCGATGTTTTGAAGGGGATGGTCTGTCAACGGGGGGGGGGTGACCAAACATATATAGATATTTGTGTATATGTTATTTGTGTGTGTAACTGCATGACTAAGGGTTGCAGACATACGAGCCCGCAATATTTCTGAAACGTGTTTTGCATATCTGACAGTCTACGGAAGACATCAAGCGTATGACGGTCCAACAAGCATGTATATATGCTATGGTGTGTACAAAGCACAACGTGAAGGCATTGACAGTTGCATGTCAAGGCGCGAGCAACTGTGCGTATTCGGAAACATAACAAAAACATGTGTGTGTGTGTGTCTGTGTATGTTTCTATGCATATATGCATGCATACATATACATATATATATATATAGATATGTATTCACTTACGGGTATACATAGACATAAACTAAAGGCATACAAAAGCACACCAGTGCACATAAGCAGACGTATGCCCATTATGATATACTGATGTACACACGATAGTGCACACAGATCTATTAACAAGTACAAACATGCAGGAGACACGTCAACAAGGCCTTTGGTTCAGCAGCTATTCTGACGGGCCTGGTAAGAGTTTAATTTTCATATTACATTATCGGTTTCTGCGTTACGGGATGCTTTGCCAAAAGACCTTATTGCAAATACAATGTTTTGTCACACAAGTTTCGATAGATGACCAACCCAAACATAAAGTTGTTGTCAAAAGACTTGTCACTTCGTCAACCATTGCTCCGAGAAATGTCACTTGCCGTTTCTTTGCCGGGGCTGAGGGAGCATTGCCGAGACTTT